TACTCTGAGATAGCAAACAGTGCTAGTTATCAGTATGGATGGCTCAGCCTAATATGCTACAGTAAGTTGTGGAGTTTGTGACTTTGGTTACAATGCTACTTTATTAGCATTTAAGCTGCTAGACTACTCTAGAAATGTTAAGTACTTGCCTGCTAAAACAGGAATTTTCAGACTATTCGATAATTGAATGTTACATAATTTGTAAATTAATTTGCCTGAAGAAAAGTTTCATGCTTCAACCTGTCTATAAGGGGCTCTCCGATGGGGCTTGCTGGCGGTTTGTTCGGGCCCAGCAGTGTGCGGCAGTCTGCAACGAGAGCGGGATGCGCAGGGACGACGCCGGGCAGGGTAGGTCTGTTGGAGCGTTGGCTCTGAACAGGGCTCTGTTTCCAACTGTTTGAGCTGCTTGACAGCCTTTACAGTTGTGACTTGTTTTAAGATGAAATCTTAAGGCTTTGGCCAACATCATTTATTGACTGTCAGAGCCTAATACGAGTAAACTGGTCTGCTTTTTAGGCTTTCCCAGTCCGAAGATGTAACTGTTTCCAGCTGTTTGAACTCATAAGCCAGTAAAGCAGTACTTAATGTGGTCTTGGCAAGGTTTCACTCAAAATTCATTTTACAAAGAAGACGGTAATCATGGCTGTGATTTCTGTTAGTCTCTTACGGAATATAAATTGTCAAACTGTCTTTTGACAAGTACAGATTTTGTTCCCTCTACCCCAAGTAATTTGGTTCCGTCAACCCAGCAAATTAATCTTGTCTAGTTTTGTCTTCTGAAGAAATACAATAAGAAATCAGATTGCTTCAACATACCAGCACTATTTCAAATTTATCCATCGGTTCAAATTAGGACATGGATTTCATATTGTATTCACATGATTGGCTTTGGTTTTCTTAGTATTTACATAGCAGCATAAGTATGCAAAGTTCCTTGCAGATGAGAAAAAGCATGTTGCTTACTTATATGTAACATAACTGAGCTTCACTGAATGCAGTAACTTTGATTTTAAGCTCACGTTTAGGTCGGTGTGGAGACTACAGTAAAATGACTTTTTTTGCCAAATTCTTGCTTTTGACACTTTATGGCTATAGCCTTTCTTAGGCCCGTAACTTTATATACATTTGGAAAATCTACAGGGCCAGATTTCCATACAAGATTAATTCATTTTAATTACCCCATTCTCCAAAGTGGGATACATGTCTTAAAAGTAATTGCATCTTTTGAGTTACTAATTGATTTTGGAGTTCAGTTCTGGTCTCCAAACAACGTAGGGATGTGGTTTTAGTATCAGGAATAGAAGGGCGTGAGTGATTTTTATTGTTTTGTTAAGTACAAATGTATTTCCAGCCCAGACAACAGCACTGCATTTGTAATTAATCAATGCCTAAAATCAAGAGCATTGCCAGTCTGGAAGCAGCAGCCTGGCGAGGTAGTGTGCATGAGATTATGAACAGAGTTTTTTTCTCTGTAGGACACAGGGACTGGAAACCTATGGCGGTGGCTTACTCAAATGCTGGTGAAAAAGGGGAGCTGAAATGCACTGATCGCTCAGAAGAAATTCAGTTTTGTCCAAGAAGAAAGTTTGCTGTTCAGAAACCCCACGTCCCATGCCGTGCTGCTTCTGACAGCTTCTGCCTCGCAGCTCCCAGGTTTGCTGGGACTTCAGACTAGCATTTTGATGGAAGCTCTGTGTTTCACCCACACCACCTGGGTGGTGGTTTGGGGGTCTGGCTCAGCTCTGGATTTCCCTGCGGGTCCCTGGGGGGGAAGCAGCAGCGATATCATGGGCTCACTGAAGCTGGAGGTTTGCATGTGGAGAAAGCATGACCAGCCAAGTACATTTAGTGCACAGATAGTTTTTTCTGGGATAGGTTGTCATCCCTCTTAATGATTCCTTGCACAGAAGCTGTTTACACCTTTCATTGCCGTTAGTGCTTTTCTCTCTCTACCTTTTCTAACTCATTGCATCCTTTCTGAAGCAAGTGACCAGATGGTCAGAGCTTATGTTATTCTAAGGACATAATAGGGGTACATCAGAAAAATTAGTACCTATGTTCTAGCAATGGGCAACAGCAAATCAGCTGTAATTAGCACAAAGGCTGCCACTGTAGGGTCTTTTTGTCATAGCGATGTGCTTTGTCATCACTCCTGTCCGCCAGTTTGAGGTGGAAGGATGAGCTCAGGTCTGGCACGGGGCCAGCCAGAGCAAAGCTTCACTTTAGCTCCCTGGTTTGCCCGTCTGGGAGGCGCATCGGCAGGTCCAGAGCGGGTTCTTTGGAAGCCTGGTGAGCTGGAGATCTAGGGGCTGTGAGATCTAGAGGTCGGAGTTGTTGAGACTTTGCATCTTCTAAGCAGAAACTGTTCATTTCAATGCAAATCAGTGTAACTCTTGAGTTCAGTAAGTTTGCGTAGACCAGCCCCACCTGACAGTTTGGTCACAGCTATGAAGAAAAAATTATCTCCAGGCTTTTATCTTCCTCTGAGTGTGGCATCAAAGTGCCTTTGTTAGTGCACGAGTACATATCCTTCGTAAAAACAGAGCTTTGCGTGACAATTATGTAATAGATTTTGTTTGCTTTCCTAATTGGAGAACATTTTGAAAGAGCAATAAAACACAATTTGTTCCCTCTTTCCAAAACGAAACGTCTCCTTTTGGAAGGAAGGAGGGAGTAAATTTACATTATAATGAGCAAATTGTTATGAGCGTGTAGATCAGTGTTGACATAAAGGGTGATGGAAATGAGATGTTCTCATTTTGTGCGTTCCCCTCCCCTTTTGTTCCCTCTCACAGGCGTTTGCCTGTGCATCCTGCTGCTACCAAGCGGGGAAGTGGCTGTACTCACAGTCAATGATAGTAACACATCATAACTCAGGTAACAAAAGTCCATATGAAGTGCATCATTCTTCCCCAGGGCTGCCTCATGCACCTAAACCCTTTCCCCAGCAAGTACTAGCGATGAAGGCACACTCAGTTTACTGCTGCACCTCCTAGCTAGTTGTGTTTTGCTTTTTATTGTCCCTCTCTACTTTCCTATTGGTTTTGTCATTTCCCGATACTGTCGGAATATTGGCATGGACTGACCAGATGAGAGTCCTATTGGTTTGCTTTGGGCATATGACTTATCTAGCAAAGAGTTTAGAAAAACACAGCATTGGGGTCTGCTATTGTCTCAGTTACCAGTCTGTCCCGCCCTGACTTTCTGGAAGTGAACTGCAGTTGTCCAGATCTTTTCTCCTTCCTGTCCTCTTTGTAACAAGTGGGTTCGTTACTGGTTTTGAGAAGCTGAAAGTGCCATTAACCCCCTGCCCAGCTGTTGCGGTGTCAGGGCTCCAGGCAAAATGGCATTTGTTTGGCTCCTAGAGAAGTCATCCCAGCGATTGCCTGGAGAGTCTGGCTGCAAGCAAAATCCATATGCAATGCTTCTGTCAGCAAAGACTTGCTGGAAGAGAGTTTATAATAAATATTCACATCTGCTGCTTTGGACACTCTAATCCATCCTACAGATCTTTGCTGTGTCAGGCTTTGTTCTAGATGAAGGAGCCCGGTAGTTATAAAGGTTTGCAAATAGGGCATATTTATCATGGTTAGCTCTACTTTCTAGTTCCCTTTCTTGCCCAAATATCACACTAAGCATACCTTGTGATTAAATATTCTCAATGCATTTGTAAGATGTTTTAGACTATACGTTACCTTTGATAGAGAAGATGTCAGTTGTTTACTTCCCGGGCTGTCAGCTGAAGCCATGGGGTGGCAAGGAGCAGAGCGGAGAGCACGGTTGTGAATTGGTTTGGATGGAGTCACAATGTATGCCCTGGCTAAACATTACCTCCCCTCGGCACACCCCAGGCCCTGGGGCTTGCACCTTACTAGGATTGGGACAGATTCCTCCCTACTACCTTCTGTTGGGCTGTATGTTCCCACTGGCTACTTGAATGACTAAAAATAACAAAATATCGCCTGGTTTTCATAATCTTCCCACAAATTATGACCTCGGTGCCAGACTGACTTTGTCAGTGTCAGTATTAATTATTCCTCTGCTGGAGATGTCTTTGCTCTCAGAGAGAAAATCCTGATACATAAAAAGAGCTGTAATCATTTGGAGGCTATATTGAACTTGCTCCTAATAGAAAAAGGTGTTTGACCAAGATCATGACTGGCAGTACAATGATTCCATTGTTGGGAGGACCACGTCAGCTTTGAAATGAATGTATTGATCCCTTTTTTTTTTTTTTTTTTGTGGTACGTGAAACTCATGATTATTATAGGTAATTTCTAAAAGGAGAGAGTCTTTATCTGTTGGCTGGATAAGTAAAAGGTGCTTCAAACATATCACTTACCAGCTGTTACCTCTGCTTTTATTTAAGCAGGAAGATAATAAACTTATAAACACAGTCTGCCTCCTTCAGAGTGATGAAAACTGAGTCCGTTTGGTTTGTAAATAAACACATGGAAGCTGGGAACTCCTTAGAACCTCCTTTAGGTTTTCTTTCCTTTTTTTCTACTGTTAGACCCAATTCTATACTAACAATTTCATTATCATTGTTTATTCCATGAGGATGTAAGGGAGCAAGGCACTCGGTTCAGTTAGATGCCTGACCTCCTTGAAATTCAGTTGAAAAGCCACATCTTCATTTCTTACAGAGCTGTACGAGAAAAGCAGCTTCCAGAGCATGGACTGCTGCCGATACCTCCAGGCGTCAGGAGAGCATCTACTTCTCCAGTGCTCAGTCTGTGTGCCGGAATCTGGCCCGGAATAATTGTAACAGCTAGAAGTAAAATAGCTGTGCTTCTAATGAGTAGCGTGCAGGGTCTTCAGATTCGCTTAATCACTCCTAAATCCAATCTCATTATTATCGATCTGACCAACTTTCTGATCATTCATCTCAGAAAACAGGAATATGCATGTTTAATCTTCAAAGCGGCACCCTCCAAACTCCCAGCGCCGCTCCCTTGCTTTCCCTTCGCAAGACCTGGTAACTTCCCTCTGAATTTCAGGTCGTGGCGTGGCTCTGGCGAGCGGCGATGGATCCGTCAAGGTTCTGCAACTGGAGTCCGGGCAGCTCTCCAGCCTGCCAGGCCACGACGGCGGCGAAGTGCGCAGCCTTGGCTTCCAGCACCGGGCAGGGCGGCTGCTTTCCGGGGCTGCCGACGGAACCGTTGGCCTCTGGAGCTGAGGACCAGCACACGGCTGAGCGTGGCCTTCATCTCAAGGTGTTCCGGGGCGGGGGGAAGTGGTTGGACAAACATAGCAGCAGCGGCTTAGGGTTTTCATACTTAACGTTTGCAGTGGGAATAATCACCCGAGACGAGTGTTACTCTGCATTTCGTCCAAATAAAATCCCCAGTTTCTCCCTCTTTCTGTTGACACAGTGTTTTCCCCAACATCAAGAATCTCGGCGCTTTCTGGAGAAATAGCTTTACAATGACGCCTAATGCCAGAGCAGACGAATTGCAAGGAGATTGATATTTACTGTAACCCACCAGGAGCCACGAGAGCGGGGCGCCCCTTCCCCAGCGCCCGCCTGGGGGAAGATGTGAAGTTTTTAATGATGGGGGGATTTTTTTTTTTTTTTCTTTTTTTCCCCCCTGCAGCAAACGCGCCAGAGTTGGGGGGGGGGGGGGCCCAGCCGCGGCAGCAGCGGGCGGGGAAGCGGCGGCGGAGCCGGGGGGGCGGGGAGCGCGGCGGCAGCGCGGAAACACCGCCGCCCGCGGGGAAAGCGCGCCGCTCCGCGCCACGGCGCGCCCGCGCTCAGGCCCGCGGGGCTGAGCGCCCCACCGCTGGATTATTTTTTTTTTTAATTATTATTTCTATTTTTTTTTTTTCCCTCCTCTTTTCCCTTTTTTCCGCCCTCCTCCCCCCCCCCCCCTCCTAAAAAAAAAAAAAAAAAAAAAAAAATCAGGCAGCGAGCGCGGAGCTGCGCGGCCATGCCCGGCCCCGGGCCGGGGGGTCCCCGCAGGGGAGCGGGGGTGCCCGGCCGCGGGGCTCCTCCGCCCTCCCTCTCCCGCCTGCCCACAGCCTAACCAGCCCCCTCTTCCCCCCCCTTCCCCCGCCGTGGCAAATGTAGGCTCGCAGGAGATCCACTGGGCATAGGGAGGGGATATAGAGGTTGTGGTTCGTTTGTTTTCTTTTTTTTTTTTTTTTCCTTTTTTAATCTATCCCCCCCCCCCCCCCCCCCCCCCTTCCTCAAGACCTGAGGAAATCCAGCCCAAGTTCGGCGTGATGACTGTGCTGCTGGCATCGGGGTTTCTCCGCGGCATCCCTGCCTCCGGACCGCCTCGCCGCTGCTCGCTTTGAATCCTCAGCACCGGGTTAAAGCTTAATTCTCATGTTGTGGTTGCTGGGCTGCCGCTCTCCCGCGTTTGGCGATGGGAGGTGGAGGAAAAGGGATTGTCCGTGAGTCAACACTGAAAATGTGATTAGGAGGAACTGCTTGCACTAATCTGTTTCTAACCTTTTAGTCCATGTTGGCCTGTGACCCCTTTCGGCTTTCAGATCGAGCCTGATTAGGTAAGTGTAAATTATTCACTTGGGGTGAGGGAAGGCGGATGGAAACGTTTTGCTCGGAGACTTACCTACAATCCTGGCTTCTCTCATAGTGAGAAATTATGAGAAAGTTCAGCTGTAAACTAATTCTGAGCTGAGCAGCATTTGTTTACTTGTTGAAATCTGCCCGTGCAAGACGTCTGCAGTCTGTCTGATTTCCAGCATCGCCGCTGAGCCGAGCGCTTGGGAGTTGCTGTGGGACATCTCAGATGCTGTAGCAAAATACAGTGGTCTTATTTATGATCTTTGGAGAACTTTTCCTTTATAATTTGGAGAGCTTCCTCATCAAACTTCAACAAATTCTCCCAATTGTTTCACATTTCCTCAGATATGAATTACTTCATTAGCTCCTGCTTTTCTTTCCCCCCCTAAATTTAGCCCACCAGTCTGCAATGTTGCAACCTACCTGTAGCATTTAGGTGGGTGAGATTTTCTGCTCTATAGATACGTAAAGCAGCCGTATCTGCATGAATCACTTGATTTCCAAACAGCATGTTACAATAGATACTGCTGATAGTAGTAACAGGGTACATAGTCCTTGTGATGGAAACGTAGCTAGTACTTCAATTAAGAAGATATCTTTTGAATTCGATAAAGCTTGTGTAATATCCGGTGTCTCCCTCTGTTGTGGCTTTGGAAAAACTGCTTTGTCAACAGGATCCCTTAGCTGCTTCTCTAGGATTAAAGCTTTTTCCTCCTGCTGCTGCTCTTTTTTTCTTCAATTACGGGAGAATTAATTGCTGACCACCTGCAGTCCAGCAAAAATCCCAATACATAAAAATTATCTCCCGGAGGGGTGGAGGGGGAGTACGTGTTTGCCTGCGTGTATAGGTTAATGCATGTTTGTGTATACTGTGTGTAACTGTGTGTGCACACTGTGGGAACGGAGGAGGAGAAGGAATCACACACACACACACACACACACACACACACACGGCCCATTTTTGGTGCGGGCCGGCAGCCACCTCCAGCGTTCCTCACTCCACGTCGTGCTGCTAATTTCATCTCATTTAAAAGTTTCCCGTAACACTTTGCCCGGTTCCCTGAAGAGAGGTCAGGAACCATTTTGCGGCCGGGGTGGCGCTGGCTGTGGGCGGCTGGGCGGGCAGGACACCGCGCCGGTGGCAGGGACGTGGCACGGCGGGCAGCCAACAGCACACCCGCGCCACGCACGGAGCCTTCGCCCGCCGCTGGCTCTCCCCGGGGGCCGGGCAACCCTCCTCTGCCTCGCCGGGTCCGTCCTCGGCTCGGCCGCTTCCGCAGAGCTCTCCAAAGGTCGGGCCGTGCCGCATCGCTCCCGAAGTTTTAGAAAGGCTCCAGCTGAATCAGGCAAACCCGTTGCAGCGGCTCCGGGCATTATGCAGGCGTTTAACATCCTGCTGTCTGCGTTTCTCCCTGGGAATTACTGAAATGCTGAATAATGGAGCAAGGGGAATTGCATCTTTGCTTCTGTCGGGATTATACGTACCTGCTGCAGGCTGGGCTGTGGTGGTAGCCCAGGTAGTCCCTCTTCAGAAATGCCATATATAAAATTCTGTATTATTCTACCCCTTGCAGACCAAGTATAACCAGCACCATCTTTCATACTGGACGCAGATCTACCTACAGATTATGCTTTTCTCGTTTTTCAACTCAAGGTTCCCACCTCAGTTGAATGAAGTGGGCTGCGCACCGTACGTAGCACAGAGGGACAGTGGCCACAGCGGGAGGTTAAGAGCACGCTTACACGCGGGTTCAGATCCCTCTGAGCTGCCCACCACCATGCAGTTTCAGGCAGCTAGTTTAATTTCTGGTGCATCAGAAAACTCAACTGCACGAATGAGGAAAGTAAAAATTAGGTGATTCTGGGAGACACCGTTTCTGCAGAGACATTTTGTGAGCATATGCTTCCAGGCGTGTGTGTCTAATTTATGTATTTCATATGCTTTATTCTCTCTCTAACAATAGTTGAGAGGAGGCTTAATTCCAACGAAGCGGTGATAGTTATCTGTGTGGTGTGAAAGCACTGATTTATTCTTGGGTGCTGGTTGAGACTATGGCCTTTATAAGTCAATATTCCTTAGAGTTTTGAGTTTACTCTCACTTAAAAATATTTGTTTTCAGACCACAACACTGGTCTCCCTATGGAATCAGCTGTTTCCATCTGGCATTGAGATCCCATGGAGAAGCTGAGGAGGGGAATGGCTCTTCATATCCATGAAGCCTGGATACTTCTGTTTGTAATCCCTGCTTTGGTCACTCCAGCTGCCATCAATCATGAAGACTACCCCGCCGATGAAGGGGACCAGACCTCCAGTAATGACAATCTGATCTTTGATGACTACCGAGGGAAGGGCTGTGTGGATGACAGTGGCTTTGTGTACAAACTGGGAGAACGTTTTTTCCCGGGACATTCCAACTGTCCCTGTGTCTGTACTGAGGATGGACCTGTTTGCGATCAACCAGAATGCCCTAAAATCCACCCAAAGTGTACAAAAGTGGAACACAATGGATGCTGTCCAGAATGCAAAGAAGTGAAAAACTTTTGTGAATATCATGGGAAAAATTACAAAATCTTGGAGGAATTTAAGGTATGAAACCCTTTCTTCAGTATTTAATATTAATATGCTGTAGGAATTGTATTTCTGTTGGGGATTCGAGGCACTTGGTATTTGTTTACTTCTGCTAACTGATGCTAAAGCTGAAGTCCTTTTTAGCTGTGATGCAGGTCTGGCTAATGTAAAAGCTGCCACCTCCCCCCTTATGTGCACTCACCGAGGGCCAGCGGTCAGTCAGAAGCCCCCGTGTGAAATGGCAGCCCTCTGAATCCGCTACTGTGGGCAACCTCCCTCTTTGCTCACAGCATGAATCAGGTTGGAGCGTGTAGAAATGGTGGTAAACAAATACTGAGTGCTATTTAAGAACCCCTTTTCCAATTTCGGTAGCAAAAATTGATGGCATGGTACTGAGAGTTATTACTCATAACTGTATGAGAATGCGAGTAAGTAGATTGCAAGCTATAGTTAATATTTTCATTTCAACTGTGATAAGTCTGGCTAGAATGGCAGAAGATTAATTCCTAGGCAGATGACCATCTCAAGTAATGAGAAGTATGGGGTTTTAATTGTAATGGTTAAGTTCCTATTAGGAATGTTGTAAAGAAATCCTTCTGGAATGTATCTTAAAAATAAGACCAGGTTTTCAAAAACCATCACCCTTGACGCAGCCTGCATCTCTCGTTCCAGTGAGTTTGACTGCATGTTGTCAGTTCTAAGGAAAGTAGCGTTTCACAATGAAGAACAGGGTCTGTAAAGGGAGTAGGTATACAGAAGTTTGTTCTCCCAGGTCACGTGCCTTTAAGATTCATTCCTCCCTAATTAACGACAGCGTACAACTCTTGATGGCTGTATGCCCAATCTCATTATAAACTTTCCAATTAATTTTCTTCTCTGATAATGAAAATACTTCTCTATAGGTCTGTGTACTTCGCAGGTTCTCGGTAACACAGATCACAATTTTCTCTTTCCCAGATACTGTAATTTTCAGTGAAGGTAGGACTTAGTTCCTTTCTTCTATCATGTACTGTTTATGTTCATCTTTTTCTGTCCCTCTGTAACTGCAGTCACTCAGTATGGGCAAGACAGTTTAATGTCATAGACATAAGGCAAAACAAATATATGAGGAACATCTCCTTGAGGGCCATCCTAATCAACCCCGTTCTCTGCTTTGCTTTGCTGAGGAACATGAGGACATTGATCTCATGAACTGCTTAAGTAACAGTTTCTTCTTGCCCTAGGAAGGCCCAGCCCGATTTGGTCCCACAATCATGCTTCAGTGATCCCATTTTGAACTGCTGTGTTGTCGGGTGGTGAAATGTCCCACCGAGGTGTAATTCCGATACGTGGTCAGGTTATTATGTGAGAGTTGTAAGGACTCTTTTTGGAGAGATTTCAGGAAGGAGAAAGTTACAAGGACTCTTCCTGAAGAGATTTCAGTGGGAGAATAATGAGATGGATCTTCTCATTAAAATATCTTTTGCACGTGAATGAAGTACAAAAGTACTATTCACTTTTCCCGAAATACATAATTGAACCTGATAACTGCTTAAAGGATAGAGAAACAGAATTTAGGGAAGAAAGCCTATTAGAGAGATTTGGAGCAGTCTGGTTCACTGTTTGCTGTGTTCAAAAACTGTGGGGTGTTGCATGGAAAGCAAAGTTCCAGTATTCTGTGAGAAACACAGAGTAGATGGTGGCACACCACTCACGCACATGGCAATCTTCAGTCCAGGGCTAGTGTGAGATCCTTCAGACTTAATTTAGTTGATGTTTGAGCTTTTAACCTGGACGTGTGTTTTGCTGAGAGCTTGATACCTTGTGGAGTAGGGCAGAAACCATTTTTTTTTTTTAAATCTTTGTGTTTACCTAGAATAAATAGTGAAATTCTTTTTTTTCCTCTCAATAGTGGAAGAGATTCAGGCAATGGAAGATTACTGTGCACTTCCAGGGGTGTTTTGGGGGGGAAAAAAAGGAGCATCTGTGACCTATGACTTTATAAATGCTATAGGAAAGACAGAAATTCATGATGCAGGAAACTGCTGCTATGAAGTGAAACCTTGACATCATTGAAGAATCCAGGCATTTTGCTGTTTACTTCAACAGAACAAAGATTTTACCTGCTAACTCCACAGATGGAATTCTGAGCAGTTCATCGGTTTTGCAGGCCCTGAGCTCTGCTCTTCCCTCATCCTCTTGAATTCATGTGGTCTGCAAACTTTCTTAAGTCCATTCCACGCACACTGAGGTCAAAGAGGAGAGGCTTTCTCCAGTTGTTCTGACTCAAAACCAGACTGCTTGCAGTGGAATCGGAGGCACTGTTTTATGTGGGCTCATAACCCTTTCACCCACTTGATTTACTTTTGGTAATATATAGGTTCCAAATCATCATCCATAGGAGTGCTTGGTACTGTTTAGTTACAGCGGAAATTATCCAATGTGTAAAAACCTTTTACAAGTGTGTGTTTGTGGGGGTGTGTGGGTGGGTGGGTGTGTGCCAGGACTGACTCATCTTGTAGAAATTTCAACTGTCTGATCTTTCACAAATTAGGATTATTCTTTTCCTCTAGGAAATTTTTTTCTCTAGGATATCAACATCTGTGAGAGGTTTCCATTTGGGAGAATTTTCCTGTCTTGTTTCTAGATTTCTGTTTAGGTTTGGGTTGAGAAACCTAAATGTGATTTACTCTTTTTTTTGTCTTACCACTCAGAGTAACCATGACTATCTCAGGGTAAAGGAGTAGTTACAAAGGCCCATTGCCTGAATATTAGCTTTCTTGTAGCGAACTCATCTTGTACCTCTGATTTTTTTTACTCGTAACAATTATAAGCACAAAATATAAACATGACAGCAAGCCATCTAGCTTAGACAGCTGTCCAAATGTTTATGCTTGTGCCCTTAAATCATTAACATGTACAAATGAGATGCTGAACTGAAGTTCAATTGTAAAGCTAAACCCATTAGTAGTTCTTCTTGTATCCTTTTGTAAAACCTTGTGTCCCTGACAGATGGTTTAGTAACCCCATGTAGCATCTTCATAGCTCTGTTACGGGTCCTGGGAGATCTCTGTGGGTTTGGAGCCCCAGCTGCCCATACGGAGCCTGCCTTATCCCCTTGGTTTGCCTGGAACTTATCCCCAGCTTCGGCTGAGGCTGCAGTTCCACCCGGAAACCCTTGCAGAAAAGGTCAGCGTGGTCCCTAATGTGAATCAAGATCCGACCGAAATGTGTTTAATATGTAGATTGCTGCCTAGTGTTCAGGATTTTGACTCCTGTGGAGCAATACGCAGGAGAAAGGGGAAGTCTGGTGGCTTTTACTGGGATCCCTGTATTTCTTTTCCAACCTCCTTTTCCACTGCTCGTCAGCCTCAAATCTGGTCTCTCGGGTCTCCTCCAGTCCCTCTCGGAGGCAAACGCGGGGTGACGGGCAGCTGCGGTCTCTGCAGGGAAGGTGTGAAGGATGCTGCAAGTCTCAGGCAGTCTTTCCATTTTCTCCAGAGAGAACTGGCAGGGACTCTCAGGGTCACTTAGTAGCTTGATTTTTCTCCCACGCATCAGCCGTGTTTTGATTTCAGTCCTGGAGGTTAAGGTTGGAGTCCCAGGTGCTCTGAGCTCGGCTGTACTAGCAGAAATCTTTCAGGGAGGTTGTTAACCCTCCCCTTTCTTCCCAGAGAGAGAAAACAAACAAATAACAACTCAGAGAGCGTCTCGGTTATTGTAAGTACACACGCTTGTGTTTTAAATGAATGTTCCCAGACAGCAGCTTATGTAAACTTAAGGAGACAGTGTACCGCCAGCGTGATGGATGTTCATTGGCAGCTTATGGAGAAATCGTGCAAATGTCAATGAGACAACAGTTTTCTTAAGTGCTGATTAGTTTTTACTCTCCTGCATAACTTACTGGCAGAAAAGCACATGCCTACCCAGATTTGAGAAATGCGATTTACAGCATGGTTTAAGGTACATTTGTAGCCACATTTAGGAGCCGTTTGAAAAGGATTAGGTTGTCAGTTTGAAAAGTCCATAATCACTTCTCAACTTGCTAGGTCTCTCATCACCCAATATAGGCATATCTAGAGTGACTTTCTTTCTGTGGACTCATATGAATTTGTAGCAAAATACAGTTGCTGGGAAATGAATGATGGGTTCACAAGAGACTGTCAAGCTGACATCTTGAAACACTCTTCATTTTAGACCCTACAGGCAGGAATTGCTCCCTGTCCCTGCAGAAGAGTGAGTCCCAGTGACATGGATTTTGGTGGCATGGTGCCATCCTTCTCAAAGTCAATGGCAGAAATTTTCTAGCCACAGACATTAAGATACCTCCATTTGCCTGGCAGGACATTGGGTGGGTTATCCTTGGGTGGGAAAACGAGAGGTTTTGGCATCACAACTTGGCCTTCCTGGTAATATTCAGGTCAGAAGAGCAGCTTCGACCTGCAGTTGTGAACTTGAGCTTGGAGACAGCTCTGAACATCAAGGGTCTTTTCTGGGTGCTCTTCAGTGGCCACTCTGCTTTCTGCCAAGCACAGAGCTGCAGTTTCTTCCAGCCATTGGCTCTGCCAATGCGTAACCTCTGCTGCTGCCTTTCACCTGCCTGCCCTTCCCAGTGACTTCTTCACTTCCTTGTCCTCTCTCCTTCCACCTTCACTTCTCCCAAATCCATCCTCGCTCAAAAAGTCCCCGGATGATGCCCAGATGTTTGTCCCTTACATGGAGAACAGGTGTGGAAGGATGTGAGAAAAACCCTTGCTCCTGGGCAGGCCTCTGCACTGTGGGGGAAAAAAAAAAAAAAAAAAAAAAAAAAAAAGAAGAAGAAATAAAAAACACAAACAAACAAACAAACAAAAAAAAAAAAAAAAAAAAGGAAAAGGGGAAATTTTAGCTTCATTCTAGGACAAAATCTTCACTGACTTGAAAAGAGCCAGGATTCCACTGCTGGAGTTCTACTTTATTTTTCTTTTCCGTGTTTCTTGCCACTATATGTTAAGTTCATTGCTTTGTTTTGTCTACAAATCATCTGTAATCCTTCAGCT